GAGGGATGGTGGGGCTGGCTGGATCCTTTGTCTCATCTGAGTGGGCACAGCAGACTGTGTCAGACAAGACAGCCCTTGGCCTCTGACCATACAGGCAGGCATCAAAAGTCCTCCAGTTCAGGCCAGCCTGGATCCTGTTAGCCTCTGTGGTCACTCACTGAGCTGATCCTGCTGCTGAGCAATCCAACAGCTACTTGGGCAGTACAGACAGCCCTTGCGATGTTTCACTTCCCAGCATCCCTGTGGCTGAGACAGGTGCCTCCTCATTCATAGCCTCTTGGCCTGCCTAGACAGGTAATAATCCTTCAAACATTGAATGTGGACCTGCCTGGCCACAGCAACAATACAGCAGACTGCGGCCTTGTAATTCTTAGGCCTTCCCTTTGCAATGAAACTTTGACATTCATACTCAGAATCAAAGACATGAGAGTGATCACATCTCCCAGCAGGTAGCTTTTAACTGAGGCTGTATGGTCTCAGAGAGCCCCTGTGGCCTCCAGAAGCTGGGTGACTGCGGATTCATGGTATGGAATAATTCTTGAGCTTCACTGAGCAAAACTTTCCTTACCACCCCAGCATTTGGTCTCTGCTCTTTGTAAAGGAGGGAGAAGAGACTGGAAATGAGCAGATTTGTTTTTTGAGGTGGGTGATTAATATGGTCAGGGGGCAGGTGTGACTCCCAGGCTCTGACTTCCCAGGGACAAGGACAAGGTCTGTGTGCCTTCCCAGGGCACAGGGGCTGTTCTGGGCAAGCCTCTGAGATGCCAGGACCCGATGCCAAGGCAGGAACCTTGCATTTTCCACAAGAAGCAATGCTGCTTTACCTGCAAGTGGAGAGCTCCTCACTGCTGTGGGAGGGAAGCAGAGCCCTGGCCCTAAGTGAGCCCCTCCCTCCCTCAGGCTTCAGATCTGCAGCTGTGCACTGGGCCTTCAGTGACATGGCATCCACTGCTTTTCCCACCTGGCATCTGTTCTCATGCCAAGTCCATCACCTTAGCTTTCCCGGGAACTGTGTCTCACCTGTTTCAGTCCAAGCAGCTCCAGAGGTACAATGTTCCAACCACTCTGGAGATGGGGGTATGATCCAAGTCTAGCCAGCCCCACATTTCATCCTCTGGGTGCTCTAATGGGTTCAGGGATGAGAGTGAACAAGCCAGCCCTAAGGCATTTAAAGCTGTGACTTTTCATGGAACCCAAGGGAAGGAGAAACTCTCCTGGTAGAATGGGCGGTGAGTGGGTGTCGGCCTGGAGCTGCTGGAGGTCCTGGATGCAGTGAGAGAAACAGTGCCTGTGGCCACCCAAAAGGCACTTAGCAGGCCAGAGAGTTGGGGAGGGTCCAGGTCACACTTGGAGAGTTTGAGCGCCTGGAACTTCCAGGTCCAAATCCAATCTTAGACTTGTCTCTTGTAAGTATTAATTCACTTCTACTTCTAAAAATACTATTTTACTTCAGTAAGAAGCTTAATAACATGTATGCTGCCTGTATAAATGAGAGATGCCCAGGAAAATGTACTAACTCCACAATATAGCCCAAGCTATCACCTTAAATTCCATTTTTAGCTAAAAACAAAAGATGTTGGGGAAAGGGGAAGGCAGTTATGGGTGCTTATTAGGCAAAAAACAGTAAACAAGGGCATGATTGTTATGAAGATGTAAGTTTTCTCAGTTGATAAGAATGTCTTGAGATTTAGTTTTATTTCTATTCCTGGTATAGACGGGGACACCTTCATGAATAGAGATTTCTCTGATAAATGTAGATTTCACTTACAAAAGGGCACTTTCTGCTAGGTTTTCAGAGATTGTCCTGTGTCTGCTGTTTTTAAAAATTGATTAGACCAAAATAATCCTTATGCCAAGGAGGCCTGTTTTAAGGTGGCATACATTGCTCCCCCTTATATGGATATGTACAGGCCAAGAGTATGCTACCCCAACATCTGCTATTGTGACATGAAGAGTATTTCAGAGTTGAAGATAATCAAGACCCAAAAGGCTGAGAAAGAAATTTGACCTCTCCCCCAACTGTACACAAAGATTTTAGATAGAAGACCTACTCCAGGAAGAGCGCTATCACCATAGAGAACTACATCATAATGTAACCTAGGGTGTGGTAGATGGGAGGGATGTGGAAGAGTATTAAAATTCCTTTCTACATCAAACTGTTTTTGTGTGGCCCAGCAAACATTTATTTACCAAATATTTCCTCTTTCATGTACCTGTGAATTGCTTCCCTTTTCCTTTGAAGTCCCAGACCCCTACCCACTTCTTAGTTCAGGGTGTCTATACCTGACTGCCTTTGGAATCTATATCCAGGGACTCCCCATACCTGTAGCTCTGGACCAGAGGCTGTTCTCAGCTCTGGGCAAGTTCTCTCTGGATTCAGTGAGACTGAAAAATGACAATGGAACGTTGTTGGGTAAAAGGGTTTATATGAAGCCTTATTCTTGGGATGGCAGGTTGAGCACTAGAATCACGTCTACCTCTGGCAATCTGCATGTAGCAAGCCTATCTCCATCTCTGCTTCTGCTCCAGACTCTGTCTCATTTCCAGGCTCTTTGGTGAGCACTGGGTGAAGCTTTTTATATAGCAACACAGGCAGTAATAGCTTATTGACAACATATATGCAAGCATGCACCTGTGTAGTATGCCAAGTACTACATCATTGCAAGTACACAGTAGGGGTGTATATTAGGAACAGGTGAGGATCCTGGCCATGGCCACTTCCATTTTCCCTACATTCCACCCCTCCAGGATTCCTGCCTCATAATCTACGTTCCCTTAGTCTTTAATGATGGTCCCTGTGTCAGAAAGCTGGAACTCTGTACCCAGATTCTACAACAGCAATAGAGACTACAACAACATACAAATAACAAAAGAAATTATGATGATAATCTACAGATAACAACAGATGATATTCATCCTCAAGCCTGAAGAGACTGATTGCCATCAAGTGGTCATTCCAGCCATGTTCAAACCACTTCTACTCAGATGAGTTCATGACTTACACTTTCCACAGGAGACCAATAGTGGAACTGATAGGGAGCTCTGTGCACACCCAGCAAGCTGCAGTTTTCACAAAGGTGTGTGCTGCATGCAATTCATGAAAGACATTAGAGGAGATTAACCTTAAGAGTGGTAAGACTCATGTTTTAATGACACCAACATAGGAAAATCTTGTCCATCAGGAAGGATGCATTCAGGAGAGTGGTCCTGTGATAGGACCATGGCAAGAAGGGGTCCCATCCAGGTCTAGCGTTTAGCACCCATACTTTTACCTCTCTCTCTGTGGGAGTTACTGAGGGATCTATGTATAGTGCTACTAGAGATGCATAAACAAACTCCCTGGTAAGATGTTCTTATCTTCCAGCCATTTAGAGTATACTACAGTGATCTTTGGGGGCCACTCTGCTGTTACTTCAGGAATACACAGGAGGCCAGCTTCTAGGCCTTTTCCCCAAGGTGCCAGGAGGCCAGCCATCTCTTCTCTGCTTGTTGAAACATCCAAGGAACATTCACTGAATGGAATTTTCAGTGTTTATTGTAGCTGGTGCTGGCAGCAAGGTATTAGTCTGGTGGCCAAACTCCAGCTTCAATGATTCCTCCTTGATTTGTCTTTACAGTTGTTTATGGGAGGTAGTGATGTGTGTTAGCATGTCTTTGGGGCTCAATGCCCCTTTCTGGGGCTTTTCAAATACCACAGCACTGTTCATAAGCAGACTGACCATCCCCATAAACTATTGGTGTCTGACTTCAGGCCAGATTTTAACAAACCATTGTACCTCTCTATTATGCCTGCCCAAGTAAGATTATATGGTACATTAAACTTCCACTTTATCTTTAATTGTTATACCCATTCTTGTAGTGCATGTCCAGTAAAGTGGGGGCCTGATTACTCTCAATTACTTGTGGTTAGCCATAGGCTGCAGAAAAATAAGCTAGAATTCCAGTAGCTGTGTCCACACCAGTCATGACAGATAAATACTCTTCTGACATAGGGAGAGGCTCAATACAGTCTATCTGACACCTGATGAGGGGCATTGGCTCCTTAGCTATTGTCCCATGTTGCTGTGGGACTCATGGTAAGTCCCTTTTAGAGCACACAAAGCACTCCTGCTGGGCTCTTCTGACTTCTTCAAAGGTTAAAGGTAGGTCCCACTGATGGGCTACAGCACCCACATTGTCTTCTGCCCTGCATGCAACAAACATTGATGTAACCACTGGGCTACATCAGAGGCAGGCTTTCCTTCTAGCCAATGTACCTGGGCCAATTCATCTACTTCATTGTTTCCTGGGGATGCCAGTGGCAAATGACCTGGCACATGATATACTGTAACTGCTTTAGTCTGACCAGAGATCCATAAGTCTTGCCACAACTCTTGCCCCCAAAGGGGTCGGTGACCAACCAGCCAGTTGGCATGGTACCAGGGTGGTAACCACAGGGTCAAGCCTCAATAGACAGCCCAGCTGTCAGTGCAAACAACTATAGGGGAGGGCTCCTGGGTGATCACAAGTCACACTGCCCACAACTCTGCCCATTGACTGCTCTTCCTCTCACCATCTTCCATCCATATCATCTCAGTTTTAGGATGGAAAGCTACAGTCCTCCACTTTGTGGGCTGTCCATGACTACAGCCTTCCATGTACCACATATCTTCAGGTATAGGGTTCTTCTCCTCTGATAAGGGCTCTTTGCTACTAGTACCTCTAAAGCAGGGTCTTCCTGCCTTTCACTTATATATGTCACTGGCCCCAGTAAGCATTGGAGTTCTCTACTCAAGGGACTGGTAGAGAGGGTGAAATGTTGCTGTAGGTACATGCCCCACTTGGCTAGTGTAGGCATCTGTGCCATGCCACTACATGGCTTTTGGTTCTAGTCTAGTACTCACCCTGTGATGGGATCAGTGGTTATTACCTTTACTGGGACTCCAATAAGTAATGGGATCCATAGCCAGCAAGGCACGGTACACGACAGCCAATTGTTTCTCTATTAAAGTTTATTGTACCTCTGCTCCTTTCCAGTTGTGGCCAGAATCCAATAGGTTGTCAAGTTCTTTCAAGCTGTTGCCAGAGACTCCAGCCATAACCATCTTCAGTTGCATGGACATCCAGCTCACAGGGCCTTGATGGACTTGAATGCACGGACTTGAATGCCCAGTTTGCTGTAGTAAAGGCAGATGCACATGTCTCATCTCAGTCCCACCCGATGCTCTTTTGTACCAAACAGTATAAAGACTTCAGAATTTGTGCCAAGTGTGGGATAAACTCTCTCCAGTAGCCAAAAAGACCCCCAAACATGCAACAGTACCACAGTTGTAGGGGTAGGAAAAGCCTGGACTTTATCTGACTGCTTCTGGTATAACTTTAGTCTTACCCAACCAGATGACCCCCAAGAATTTGATGGACAAACCAGGCCCTTGAACCTTGGTACTGTTCACAGCCCATCCTTTCTCCTGTAGATGTTGTAGCTATCTAGGTGCTGTACCTTCTAGATCTGGAAGAGAATCAGACATGAGAATGATATCATCAATATAATGGTACAGCCACACCGTTGGTGGTTTCTCCTATGCTGCCAAGTCCTGGACAAGTCCATGGCAGATGGTGGGGCTGGGGAGGTATTCCTGTGGAAGGACAGTGAAAGTCCATTGCCATCCTTCCCACGTGAAAGCAAACTGCTCCTGATTTTTTCTGTGCTATGTCAATGGAAAAGAAGGCTTTAGCAAGATCTGCAACATAATGATATGCCCCAAGTTCATGACTGAGAGTGTCTATAAGGACTGCAATAGAGGGGACAGCAGCATGCATAAGGGGTATGATTTTATTCAATTCTCTGTAGTCCATGGTCATATGGCAGGAGCCATCTGTCTTTTTTACTGGCCACACCAGGGAATTAAAAGGGCTATGGGTGATTTTTAAAATACCTACCTTATCCAGAAATTGGTTTCTCCAATTTCTTTCTGCCCTCCAGGCAATTTGTATTGTTTGGTATTAGCCACCAGCCAAGGTACAGGCTAGGTTATGCATGGGTACTTGATATGTCCCCTCAGAACAGCTTTCACAGGTATTCTTAGACTGAACTCACCTGCAGTGGTCTGTAACCTAGGTCCTGCAGGATATCTATCCTCAAAATATATTCAGGGATGGGAGAGATATATACACAGTATACTCCTTTGAGTGTAGATGCCCTATTCCCAGTGGGATTTGGGCTTGTTTCACTTGGATAGCCTTATTCCTGTATCTGTCTGTAACAGCAGGGGTTCTGGAAAACCGCTCAGGGTTGCCATAAATCAGGGAGGATTTGGCTTCTGTGTCTAACAGAACCAGGATACAATGTACATTCACTGGGGACCAATGAACTAATATTTCAATGTGTGGCCTCCAGTCCCCAGCTGATCCCCAAGGCAGGTGCCTTGACCCTCCCTCAGTCAAACCATATTATCCAATCATCTTCCTGTGTGGGTCCAGGTGAAGCTGGCTCACTCTTCAGCAGGAAATCTTGCAAACACACAGGCTGGGCATGTGGCTCTGTCTCTGGCCTCCACTTCTTGGTCCTCAGTGGCTGAAACTGATGCTCTGGCTTCAATTGTTGCCACAGCTCCCGTAAGATTCTATTTGACTTCCCATCCAACTTCTCTCTCTCTCTGCTCTTACCTTTATTAAATCAGCCCACATCTGGGTCCTTGTGACCTTCATGGGGCCCCTTAAACTCTTCCTCTGAGTTGCAGACCACACTCCCTTTTGTGCCTGCATTGCTTCAGTCTCCCTTGAATCTGCCACAGTACAGGTCACTGCATTTAGGGGCTGCACTATGTGAGGGGCAAGAATGACCAATAGGGGCCCAAAGGGGGTAAGGGGAGCTGCTTTCAGCACCATATCCTTCATCCCCACAATAAACAGCTCCTTGTCTGGGTCATGATTTACTGGGTTATAAATGGCATTTTGCATGCCCAACTCCCATAATACCTGTTGGAGCTCAGCATATGTCTGCCATCTAGCTGGGGAAGATGGTAAATCACCCTGATTGGGCCATACAGTGCAAAGTGTGGCCATAAGACACTTGAGAAGGAAATTATTGCAGAGGGTCTGTTATGCATGTTGTAATTGCTTACTGCAAGGCATAATGAGTTGTCAGAGAAGCCATGTTTCCCATTTCTAACCTCGTCACAATAATCCCATCCACCTATGTCCCAAAGGTGCAGGATCCAGGCTGATATGGACTCTGAGGGTTTCTGCTGAAACTGGGAGCCCAAATCTATGAGCTTAGCCTCAGTATGGAGGTGGAGCATAGAGTGCTCCATGGCCTGGGGAGGGAGATGAACCTCTCCTGGAGTGACGGTGCCTGCCGTCGAAGTCGAACAGTTTGAAGGGGAGGCGTGGAGCTGATTATATGTACAACTCACTCTGAGAGGACGCCCCACGTTTGGGCACCTGATGAGAGAACAAAAAACACAGACAACACAGACAGACAGACAATGGCCGCAGCCCCGATGTGGCACAGCACCTTTATTTTTATACTGCCTTTCTCGGACCCCAGCTAAGTGCTATTCTCATCTTTCTCTTCTCTCGGGGGGCAGGCCAGAAGCAGGGGCAGTGTTTTCACACGTCTTCAAGGTCTCCCTATTTTCAGAGTGAGGAGGACAAGATATGTTTTTGTGGGCAGATAACTTCCAAGGACTGCACCAGTTGTTCTCAAGCTTGTGCTTTCCCATGCTGTGTTCAGACATGAGGGAAGGTGCTTTCCCATTCTGCCTGCAAACATGTGAGAGGACAAAGGCCGTCCCCAACACTGGAGGAACCCATGGTTGCTGAGTCTTTATTTTCTTAACTATTACCAGGCAGAATTTCAAGAGAGAGGTTGGTGCCTCTGGCACCACCTCTACCTCCTAGTTCTCCCCAAGCATATCGCCCACCAATTCCAGAGCTGACAAAATCTCTTGCCACTCCACAGAGTGCCTCCATTCCAGTCACCATTACATCCTTTTCCTTCTCCACAGTGCTTCACAGCAACACCATCTCAATCTTCAACAAAGCTTTTACCTCCTCCACAGAACCTCTCAGCTTGCATTCTCATGCTGCTTCTTCTCTTGCTTCTTGCAGGAGTACATCCTTCTCCTTTATAGCCTGCCTTAACACTGTGAGAAATAGCCAACTCAAGGCTCCTGCTGCCACATGGGCATCTTGTTTCTTTAAGGATTTCCCAATCTTGGGAATGGCCTCCACGACTGCCCTAGGCATCACCTCCATCCACTCCTAATCCTGGGGAGGGGTCCACTCCTTTATGAGGACATCCACCTTGGGCCATTTGTCCAGTGGGGGACACCCAAGTATCTCTTTGCCCATAGGGGCACCCTGCAGTATTTCTCTATCTGTAGGGGCAGCCTGCTGAAGTACTCCTCACATGAGGGCAGTGTGTCCCATTTTTCAGCTGCAGAGAATCCTGCTGACTAGCCAAACTGGGCAAGTTCACTCTCAATTCAATGAGGCTGAAAAATGACAATGGAACATTGGTGGGTAAAAGGGTTTATACCAAGCTTTATTCTTGTGATGTCAGGTTGAGCACTAGAATCATGTCTGCCTCTGGCAAGTCTCCATGAGCAAGCCTGTCTTTGTCTCTGCCACCATTCCAAGCTCTGTCTCTGCTCCAAGCTCTGTGATGAGCACTGGGTGGGGTTCTTTATACAGCAACACAGGCAATAATGGCTTATTGACAACATATGTGTAAGCATGCACCTGTGCAGTAGGCCAAGTATTACATCATTGTACATGCACAGTGGGCAAGTAGATTATGATCAGGTGAGGATCTTGACCATGAAACTTCCATTTTCCCTGCAATATCTAATTAAACTTTTTTTGTTCCTGTTAACTTGTCTCATGTTAATTTGATTCTTAAAGCAACTAGAAGAACCTCAAGGTGTAGAGGAAAATTCTTCCTCCCTAACAGATGTACCCAATTTGCTTATGCATTCATTTATTGAAGGACATTCTGACTTAAGTTTCTTGCTATTTTGAACAGAGGTGTTGTTCATAATTCCAGACTGGTTTTTGGGTATATATAATTTTTCAAAGCACTTGCATAAATACTGGAGATGCGATAGTTGGATCCTAAAGTGAGACTTGTTATAAAAAAACCACCACATTGTCCTCCAAAGTGGCTCTACATGCAACTCCACAGCAATGGAGTTCCTGTGTCCTTCATCCTCCATCATTCAGTGGTGTCATGTTTTGGAGTTTAGCAATTCTCACAGGTGTGCAGTGCTAATTGCTGTTTTAGTTTGTCATTCCCTAATGATGTATGATGTTGAGCATAATTTTTATTTACTATGTATCTTCTTTGGCAAGGTATGTGTTTAGCTCTTTACCCATTTTTAATGGGATTGTTTTAAAGTTTTTCTGTATATTCTGAGTACAAATCCTTTGCCAATTTTTTTTTGTGTTTTGAAAATATTTTCTCCCAGTTCGTAGCATGTCTTTTGGTTCTCTGAATAAAGTCTTCCACAGAGCAGAACATTTTAACTTTACAAATTCCAGGTTATTTTTCTCTTTTGTGGATATGCTTTTGGTGTTAGGTGTTATAACCCATAACCAAGCTCAAGGTTGTATAGATTTTTCTGGTTTTCTTCTAGAATTTGTGTAGTTTTGCAATTTCAATTTGTCTATGGATAATTTTGAGTGACTTTTGGTATAATCTGTAAAGTCATTTTCATTTCATTCTATATGGCTTACAATGAGTTTTTCATTAATTCAGTGTGGAGAAGACATGGGATGTCAGCTCTATGTCAGTTTGATTTTCCAAAGGTTCTTTGTTCAGCTGACAGCTGGGAGGGGGCGCCACCTCCTCTGAGCTGTGAGCACATGTCCTACACTGACTCCGTCGACCTGCAGGGGGTGCTGCTGTCTCTGACAGGTGAATCGTTGAGTCCTGCACTGTCGCCCAGGGCCCGCAGGGGTGTCCCATGGCACAGCTCTGACCTGCTTGGTGCATGTGCCTTCAGTCCCCTGACTTGACCCGGTGTTCCACTGACATATGCAGTGTTTCCTCAGGACCCGTGGCTTTGGCTTGGGGACAATGTGGGGCTGTGTTGCGCTGACGGGAGTTCGATCTCAGGATGCAGGGACGCGCCTCCGCGGGAGGAAAAGGAGTGAGGAGGGTGAGCAGAAGCTTCCTGCGTGCCGTCTGCTGATCGCTGCCTTTGCAGGGTGGGGAGGAAGGGCTGCGGTGGGGGGCTGGGTCTTCGCTGAATTTGATGCATGGGGAGGGGGCGGGTGCGGGGAGAGTCTGCGCTGCGTGCCAGGTGAGGCGGTGCCCTGGGTGCTGTGGGGTTCGGGGTGAGGAGCATGGCGTCCAGCGCATCCCCAGGATCCCATCTCTCTGCGCTGCGCCTACGGGTTGACTTCTGGCCT